GGTGGGCGGCTGGGGTGCGGGCACATGATAGAATTGGGGGGGGGAAGCGGGGCGCCTCTGCAGGTCGCACCGCAGACCGCACGCGCTCCTGGCGACCACGCTCAATCCCCGGCCGCGGCCCAGCCGCCGCCGCTGCGCGCTCCACCGCCGCCGTCTCGACTTCGGCCGCTGCGGCCTCGTCCTCGGCCGCCCCCGCCGCCCCCGCCGCCTCGCCCTCCTCCCCTCGCTCCCTCCCCCTCGCCGCGCCGCCTCTCCCGGCCGCCGCGACCCCCTCCCCCGCGTCGCCTCCGTGGCCATTGGCCGCGGTGGCGGCTGAGGCGCGCGAGGGAGGAGCCTCCCCCTCGGCACCGCTCCTCTGGGGCGGCGGCGGAGGAGAGCAGTGGCCGCAAGAGAGGGCACACGCGCCCTTCATGAAGCCGGCATTCTTGGTGCACTCACCAGAGATTGCCCAGTTGAGGCAGTTTGGGTGTGAGTCGCCGCAGCAGCCGGTGCAGCTCTGCACGCACGCGGCGCGCACGTCGCGCTGGCTGCACTCGCCGCGCTTTGCCTGCGCTCGGGCGGCGCGGGATGGGTCGGCGGGCGGCGTGTGCTTGCTCTCTCCTGCGGCGAGGGCTGCGTGGTGTATTGCGTGGTGTATGCGAGAGCTGCCGGGTGTATGCGGGACCGGGGGAGGTGGGAGAGCGGAGGGGCGGAGGGCAGGCACCTTCTCAGCGCAGTCCTCCTTGTCGTTTGCGCACCACTCTCCCTCGAGCTGCGCGGGCGGGCAAGCGGCGGCCGCCGCCGGCGAGTCGCGGGGGCACTGCTCTCGGTAGAAGGAGCAGAGGGCGCGGTTCAGCAGGGTGACCGTCTCGGCGCAGAGCGCCTGTTCGCGCAGGGCTGCGGTCGGGGGCTGCTGGCGGCACACAGGGGCGGGGGCGGCACAGAGGGCTTGCTGCCCGAGGGCGCGCCTGCCGTGGGCTTGGCTTGGAGGGCGGTCGGAAGAAGTGGCCCCCGCAGCTGGCGATGTCGAAGGCGGGGTAGTCGTACTTGGTGAAGTGGTACGACTCGACGTGGCAGTGGAGTCCGTAGTGGATGATGGCTGGCCCGCCCTCTGCGTACGGCGCGGCGCGGCCGAAATCCGAGTACTGGACGACCCCGTGCTTGAGCTGCGTCGGTATGCGCGCCTCGGCCGCCGCCAGGACGTAGCCGTACATCTCCGCGATCCATGGCGCCTCGCCCCGGCTCACGTACGAGTCGCCCAGCGAGATGTCCTTCGAGACCCACTCGCCCCCGCCCTCGCGCGGACCCCGCACCGGAGCGCCGTCCGCGCCGAGCGTGCGCCAGTACCGCCGCGGGTCGCCGCGGATTGCGCCGCACCAGTGCAGCCAGCGCGGGGCGATGGTGGCGAGGTCGTCACGGTGAAAGATGTGCCACCAGCCGGCAGACTTTGCGAGCGGCGCCAGCTCTTCCGCAATGTACTGCTGGGGCAGTTTCGCGCGGATGCCCGTGTTGAGGTAGCTTGCGTCCTCGGAGAGCACCAGGCCGCGCCGTGCGCCGAGTGCGACCGGGTCGATCGCTCCGCGTAGCAGCATGTCGGCGTCGATGAAGAGGACAAACTCCTCGGCGGGCGGCGACTCCTTTATCCAGTGCATCACCGCCGCGGGCTTGTTGTACGAGCCCGAGCTCTCGTTGTTGTAGTTGTAGGCATAGTTTGGGTGCACGAACGTCGGTCCCATCTTGAGGCTGCTGGCCGGATAGGCATCGAATTGCTGCTTTGAGCACGCGAGCAGCCGCGTGATTGGCCCGGGCATCCCACTCGTCCGATGCGTGTAATAGACCCCGGCGCTTTTCCAGTCAAAGTACGTCGTGCACTCCGCACAAAACACGGTGTGCAACTCATTGCGCGCAGCCATGGCGCCGACTTTTCGCTGAACTTGGCCGAGTTACGTCTCACACCACTTGCCGGAGTCTGGTGTTTGTTGAGGGTCGACCGTGCACTCGAGTCCGCGCCGTCTTGGCGCGGCGCTTTTCTTTTTTCTCGCAGTGTTACATCTCTCCGGCCACCCACATCCCTGTACACTGCGGCCCGCCTCTCGTACCCGTGTGTGCGTCTTGCACTGAGTCTGACAAACAAACAACTCTGATCTCTGAGTCTGAGAGGGTCGGCGTTGTCCGTTGTGCGTTGAGAAAACACTTGATCCTGCATGGTCCATGGAAGTCGCCTGCTCTCATCCCAAGAGCAAAAACGCGATGCATCATGCAACCTCCCACAACGCGGCCGGCGTCTGCGAGTCCCGGAGCGGGGCGGGAACCGGGAGAAGCGCGCGGGGCTCCGCTGACGCTTGACCTTGACGCTTGAGGCTTTGGAAAGGCTTACCGAAAGGCGTCCACAACAGCGGCAAAGTGGCACTGCCGGTGTGTGTGTTGTGAGACACGCCCAATCGATCTCGTAAATAAATGAAAAGGTCAAGCTCTGGCGAGATGGATAGTGGGACGCGCGTGCCCCCGCCCTGCACGCTTTTGCGCCGAGCGTGCGCGCGCCTGGTCCTCCTCGACCGTGAGAGCCGTGGCCGCGCAGAGCGCGGCGCAGGGCAGCCAGAAGAGCATCGCGAGCGAGAAGGCGCGCTCTCGCCCGCGCTGCGCCACGAGTGTCGCGATGAGGAAGGGTCCGGCGCCCTTGCCCACGTCGTCGGAGAGGGTGAAGGCGGCGAAGGCGACGCCGCGCTGCTCGCTGCGAGTCACGTTGACCATCGTCGAGCGCACGTTCGGGCCGGTCTGCGTGGCGAGGAAGCCTCCTGCCGCCGCGCATGCCGCGCTGGGCCAGAAGCCCCACTCGCCTCGCGACGCGATCAGCGCCCACATCGGAAGGACGCCGAGCGAGCCAGCGGCGAGCATCAGCAGCGGGGGCAGGCGAGCAGAGGCGTTGTATAGCCTCTGGCCTGCCTCTCCGCCGACGAGCGTGCCGCCCATGCCTCCGGCGGAGAAGGCGGTCATGACGAGGGTGGCCTGGGGTAAGGGGGAGGGGGGTGAGGGTGAGGGTGAGGGTGAGGGTGAGGGTGAGGGCGAGGGGGAGGGCGAGGGGGAGGGCGAGGGGGAGAGTGAGGCGGTCATGACGGACAAGCCCAATACGAATGATTACTCATCACATCGAGATGACAATAGCGGCCTGCTGGACGGGCAAGCCATGCTCCGCGTGCAGGAAGTCGGGCAGGAAGGCCGAGATGACGCCCCACGGGATGCAGCCGGGCACGCCTTGCAGCAGCAGCAGCCACACCGTCGGTATCCGAAGCAAGTCGCCCCAGCGGGTTGGCGGCGTCGGCGGGCAAGACTGGGCCGCGCTGCCCGCGGAGGCTGCTGAGGAGTCCGGCTCCTGGTCGTCCGACAAGGGTACGGGTCAGGGCTCCGGTCATTGGTTAGGGTCATGGTCATGGTCATGGTCAGAGAAGCTGCGGCTCCTGGTCGTCCGAGCCGCCGTCCCCGCCCTCGAGGCCGTCAAGGAAGCGATCGCTCTCCTGATGGATGAACCCAGAACACGACTCGGAGAGACATCCCGCTGTCGGGTTCGCGGGTGCACACTCCCCCGGCCCTCTCCTCCTCGCGCGTGGCACCGTGGCGGCGGCCCACGCCTGCTCTCGAGTGAGCCGATATGGGGCGAGACGTGGCGAGGTATGACGAGGTATGGCGAGGCGGCGGCCACGCCTACTCTCGAGTGAGCCGATGCACTGGAGGAGTCCATGCGTCGCCGGTGGCGCCTCCTGGCTGTGGGCGTGGCGGATGGGGCCTGCGCGGCCTCGCACCGGCTCCGGCAGCAGCCGCCGCACGCTCGCAGCGAGGAGCAGCATCAGCCTACGTATGGCGAATGCGCCAACCTCGGGGCGGGACTGCGGTATCGTGCAGTGTATTCAGAGCCTCGCGTGAGTCCGTCCTCTCGAGGCCTGGCTGGAGCACAAAAGTACGCACCTTAAGGTATTCGGCTTCTACGACCACCAGCCCGCCGACCGGCACGAAGGGAGCGCGCCAGCCGAGCCGCGGCCCCAGCTAACCCGCCCTCCCCCCACCCGCACGGGTTAGCGCTGGGTGGTAGTGCCGGGTTAATGGTAACCCCCATTCTGACCCGAGCTGACCCGTGACGGGGTTAGTGAGCACAACGGTCTAACCGCCGCGCTAACCCGCGCTTACCGAAGGACTCACAGGGGGCAAACCACCCCGCTCCCCGGCCGAACTTCAGAGACAGAGTGGCGGTGCTCCTCAAATAACCGGTCGATGCTGTGGAGGGGACATGTGCGCTGATGACGTCCTGGGGCCCGATTGGAAAGCGGCCGTCTGCGCGGTCATTATAAGGCTCGCGCCCCGGCCCGGTTGGACACTATGCTCTATATATGGGTACCCCCTAGAAGTACTCCTGTGGCTGTGCGCACTGGCACTAACGTCCCAGTGTTGTGTGAAAAAATAAATCTGTAGATCACAAGTAACAACTGCTCTCCACTGCGTCAGCTGTGTATCGCGCGCACCTTGCCGGGGTGGTGGTGGTGGGGGGGGGGGGGGGTGGAGGCGGAAAAGAGGAACCTCGGCTATGTCTATGGGGTCGCTCCTGCGTGTGTGTGCGACGTTGGTGCTGTGCTCTTCAAAGGCGGCCTTCGTGGCATGCCGGCCCGCACGCGAGCCGGCGCCGCGCGCCTCGATATCGTGTCGATAGCAGCGACAGCTGGAGCGCCTTTCGCACAATATCTTCCGCCGGGTCTGCCGGGTCGTTCCTGCCGCTGAATTAGAGCGCTTGTGGCACAGCTTGCAGATAATGCAGTTCTATGCGTTTCGCCGCTGGTCTGTGGCCACGGCTCACGGCCCACGAGTCGCACCTTTCCTTCCCTACGCCTCGAGGCAGCTCGCTGGCTGCACGTCGTCTGCCGAGCCGTGCGCACGCTTGCACGAGAAGTGCCCCGTACCTCCGGAGGCAGGCGCAATATTCACGTGACGCAGCGTCAGGCGCCGACAGGGGGAGGCCTTGCTGCAGGTGAAGCTGCCCGTCTCCGCGCTCGCGCTGGTGCCCGAGACGCGTACAAAGAGAACGTCCGACACGTTGACTGCCATGTTGCTCTCTGGGCACGGGAAGGGCTTCTGGTTTGGCGGGCAGTACTCTGCGTTGATTACAATCGGATGCTGAACTTCCTCCATCCAGATGCGTTGGAACACGATCTGCGAGACCCGGCCGAGGTTGTTCGGGTACATCTTGATGCGGCAGCCATTGTCCGAGCGGTAGAAGCGAACGTCCTCGACGGTCACGTTGGTGACGACGCCCGTGCGCACGGAGCCGATGCTCACGCCGTGCCCGCCCACGCACGTCATGTTGCGCACAACGAGCGAGCCGCCGAACGCTCTGAGCGTAGGCCAGGGGCCAGGCTCCGGCGGCGGCGTGCTCGTCGACGTGATGGCTGTCACGCAGTCGTCGCCATTCGAGATGTGCGAGTCGGCGACGAGCTGATCGGAGCCTCCGCCAAAGTTGATGCCGTCCGTGTTGGGCGAATCGTGGGGTGCTTCAACCCGCAGGCCGAGCACGCGCACGCGCGAGCAGTTGTCAAACATGAGGTTGTGATTGGGCGAGTTGAGCAGGCGGATGCCCGACACGACCACTCCGGTCGAGTGCTCGATGCGCAGCAGGTATGGCCGCCACTTGGAGTCATTGCGCACGGGCCTCTGCCCCGCCCACCAATCGGCACCCTGCCCGTCAATCGTGCCGCTGCCGCGCAGCGTCAGGCTGGATGCGCCGCTCGTCCACACGAATGCACGCACGCCTTCCCAGCCAGCCGGGACCCACCAAGCCATCGGCGCGGCCACGATGGTGCCATCCAGCTCGACGGTGGAGCCGTCGGACAGGGAGAAGGGGCCAGTGAGGAAGGTGCCGTTTGCAAACCGCAGCGTGCACCCACCGCCGCACGAGGCGGCTGCGGCGCGCACCGCCCGCGTGTCATTCGCCATGCCGTCCGCGACGGCGCCGTGCTGCTGTGGCGTGACGACTCGGTGCGCGAGGATAGCGACTGCAAAAGACACAACCATTCTTTGCAAGCGTATGTGCCCGCGGTCCGCTGCAAAACGCGCGCGTGTAGAAAAGTTCGCTTTTTCGCGTCAGAAAAGTTAGTGGGGACAGGCTCTTTTCTCTCCCTTTTCTGTGAGATCTTCCTAATGGAAAAAAATCTTTGCGCGGCCCGCCGTTTTTGGTGGCATGGCGTTTTGTCTCTCGCTGCTTCTGCCGACGCTGCGGCTAGATGCTGGCATTGACTGCCGTGAGCCGCGCAACGCTTGCGGACGCCGCATCGTGATGCTGGCCGCGCCCGCGCCGGCTGTCGCCGACAGCTTTATCGCCGAGAGGCGCGGCAACCTCGCCCTGCTGGACGAGCCGCGAATGCTGGACGCGCAGAATTTTCCGATCGCGCCGGACGATCTTATCGCTAAAGCCAAAGATTTTATCGCAGCTGATTACGGCGCGGAGGACCCCGGGATGCTCGCGGACGCGTTTTCCTTTGTCGGCCCGTTTATCGGCCCGCTCAGCAAGCAGCAATACATCGACGCGCTCGGTGGCAAGTTTAACCCTGCCGATGGCTTTCCCGACCTGATCGGTCGGCAGTTTGGCTTTTCGGCCGACCCGATCGAGCCCGGCCGCGTGTGGTGGGTCTCGCGCCCCGTCGGGACCTTTTCGCGGCCGTTTTTCGGCGCAGAGCCCGACGGCCGACGCATCGAGACGCCGCCTCAGGCGATGGGATGCGTCTTTGACGCGGCTGGCAAGGTGACGCGCATCAACGTCGGTGCGGTGATCGACCGCACGCAAGGCAACACCGCTGGCCTGGGCGGCCTGTTTGGCTTTCTGTGGTTCGTGGGCAAGGCGCCGCCCGCACCCGAGTACCAGCCCTTCAAGAAGTCGTGGCAGTTTGAGCTGCTGGAGAAGCTGGGGCCGCTGCTGACGAAGCTGCAGGCTGCCGCGCCGCAGAAGTAAGGAGAGGGAGGAGTGGGTTGTGAAAAAGAAAGACAGAAAACGGACAACCCAAAGGAGGGAGGAGAACGGCACGCCGCCACCACACAGGGATTTTAAGGAGAGGCGTGTGCACAATGTTAAAAAGCTATGATTTCTTCCGAAAACCGGCGGAGGGGAGCCCTTCCAGTGGTTTCGATTTGGCGCTCTCGGCATGAACACGCTCACGGCGCTGCAGGCGCTCCCGCTGCCTTCAGCATCACGCGCTCCAGCGCCTCGAATGGCCTCGCCTCGCGACGAGCTGCTCAAAGAGCTTCAGAACTTCGAGCGCAGCAACCAGCGGCGAGCTTTTCTCAACGGCCTCGCCGCCACGTCCGTTACTCTCTTTGTGGGTGGGTTGAGTTTCGGGACGGGCGGGCTGGCCTCCAAAAGGCTGGAGGAGGGCGTGCGCGAACCGCCGCCCTTCGTCGACGTCACGGACGGGAAGCAGGATATGAACAGGGTGCCGGCCGTCGCCGAAAATGTCGCGGGCACCGAGGTCCCGCCTCCAGCGCCACCACCGGTCCAGGCGCCAGCGTCGCTCCAGGCATCGGTCGGCGGGGGACTGGGCATGCCGCTGGCACCAGTCGGAGCGGTGGCGGTCGCCGCTGCGGCTGCGTTTGCTGTCAGACCGAATCCGCCGGCCGGCTCGACGGCGACGACGCCGTCAGCAGCAGCAGCGCAGCTCAAACCACTCGCACCACCGCCCCCGCCGGGGCAGACCACCGACGCCGCCGCGCGCCCTGCCGCCGCGGCTGCACTCGCCACGCCCGCCGCCACCACGCCCGAGGCGGGCAACTCTCCCGCTGTGCCGACGTCGGAGCTGCGGGCGGCCGTGCGCATCGCCGCGCTCAAGGCCGACGGCGCCGCCGCTCTCGCGCGGAGGGCCGAGCGGGCTGCCGCACTGGAGGAGAGGCGGCAGCGGCTGAGCGCTGCAGTCGAGGCGGAGGAGGCGCAGCTGAGCCTCGCGGAGGGGTCGGTGAGCGGCGGGGAGGAGGCGGACGCAGGCGCCATCTCGCCAGCTTTGACGGTGGACCCGACGGCGGCAGGGCTGGCGGCGGGGAGCAGGCAGAGGTGGGTAGACGGCGAGCTTGTCACGACTACAGAGGCGCCTCTGGCCCCGCCGCCGCCGCCGGAGGACACGCCGCTGCCAATCACCGAGCCGCTGGAGCAAAAGGCGCGACGCGAAGGGGCCGAGGCGGCGGCGGCGGAGGTGGCGGAGGTGGCGGCGGAGGAGGTGGCGGCAGCGGTCGGCGAGGCGGAGGTGGGGGAGGGGGGGGCTGGGAGAGAGGCTGAGGGGGAGGCTGTGAGGGCGCCCATGCGCCTCCTGGTGGTGGGCGAGGTTGGCGACGGCAAGAGCACTCTCATCAACGCCTTGCGCGACGAGGAGCGGAGCAGCTGCGCCGAGGCGGGCAAGGCGGGCAAGTGGCCACCGCTTGAGTCCGCAGGCGTGGCGGGGCTTGACGCGAGGGGTGTCCGAGGCTAGGCGGCCCGTGGCGTGACCAAGCAGGTCCGGGAGTACGTCGGCACGCCGGTGGGCGGGCGCGAGGTACTGTACCTCGACACGCCTGGCATCGGAGACATCGACGTGCCGCTGCAGAAGCTGTTCGCTCTCTTCGAGCAGCGACTCGCCGGCGCAGAGGTCGACACGCACGCAGACACGCACGCGCACACTGTGAATGCCTTTGGGCGCCCGCCCCTCCCTCACCGGAGCCGGAGGTGCCGGGGCGGTCGTCCCTCTGCCCCTCACCCGCGCGTGAGACGCCGACACCCGCCTCCGGCCCAGGTCGACGGCGTGCTCGTCACCACGCCCGTGTCGGACGCGCGAGTCAAGCTCGGCGCTCAGGTGCAAGGGCGACCCGACTGCCGCCCCGCCCTTCCGCCGCCTCGCCGACGCCCCCCTCCCGCCAGCACGCCGCGCCTCTCGTGTGCCCGTGCTTCACCCCCCCCACCCCCCCCCTTCCCTCGCCAGGTCGTCAAGTTCCTCGTCGAGAACGGGTTCGTCGGCGGCGCGGAGAAGTGGGCCAGCGTCGTCTTAGTCGGGACAAAGAACGACAAGGCGGACGAGGAGGACCGGCACTGCTTCCGCAGCCAGGTCGTGCCTGAGCTCTTCTCAGCCGCGCAAGGCGCGACAGGCAGCTACGCGCTGGTCGGGCGGGATGACTACTCGCAGCTGATCGATCGCATCGCGCGCCTGCCGAGCGGGACCCTCTCGTACCGCCGCCCGTCGAGCAGGGCCATCCAGGCGGAGCTGCTGCCGCTGGTGGGGGGCGACGACTTCATCATCGAAGAGCTGCCGCCGCCGCCGACGAGGCAGCCGAGCGTGCCGGCCGGGCAGGACCCGCGCAGGTGGGGCTTCCTGCCGCCGCCGCAGTGGCCGACGTGGGCGGCGCCGCGGCAGCCCGCCTGGCTGCCCACCCCGCTCGCGAGCGTGACGCCCGAGGAGCGGCGCACCGCCCGCGCCGAGCGATCCGCCTCTCACCGCGCAGCGGTGAGGCGGGAGTCGGTCTCCCCCTCCTCGTCGTCTGCCGCCGCGTCCTCCTCCCTCCCCTCCTCCGCCACCTCGGCTTGGTCAGGGCGCGTGGTCCCAACCAACAAGCAGGAGTAGAGCTACTTGTAGAGCGGTTGCGCATGCTGGGCTGTCTCCGCTCTCTCCCCTTTGTCTCTCCTTGTTGGTAGACTCTGCGTGCGCGCCGCGCGCCGACATGCCACTCGCCGTGGTGCGAGGTCGAATCTCTCGCAAGCCGGATGTTTTCTTGCGCGATCCACTATATGCAAAAAAACATGAAACAAACACCTCTTATAGTGTTTTGGATATCTGTTTACTGTTTTTGCTCTAGTTTTGTCTCTCCTTGTGTGCATGTTGAGAACACGAAACCGCTTGGCATTTATGTACCCTGTGTGTACTTCGAGTGTGTACTCAGCCTGTGTATGTAAAAGAGGGGAATGCAGTGTCGAGAGGACAGGGAGCGGAGGGACGTGTCCGAGTGGTGGTGGTGGTGGGGGGGACTTTGTCCGAGGGGGGGGACGCCTTAGAGGTTGGACGGCCCAATGGTGGATGGGCGGTCTCGAATCACGGTCACGTCGGCGAGGACAGCGACGGCGTCGTTGGTGGAGCGCAGGGGCGAGGGCGTCGACCGACGGGCGGCGCATCAGGGACCCCTCGCTGGCGAGCGGCTGTGGCGCGGGAGGTCACGAAACGACGGGTCGAACGACGGGTCGAGCCCCCCCCCTCTGCCGGTCGAGGCCGCGGTCGAGACGGTGAGCGAGGACCTGGTCGAGGACGCGCTGATGAGCCACCTGATTGGCCCCCCCCGCCCGGGCAGTCGGGGGCTGGCGCCCGCTCGTTCACTGCCTTTAGAGCCCCTTAGCTGTCTCAGGTGTGCGGGCGTGCTTCGGTCGGCGTACTGGAGGTGACCTTCTTGTTTCTTATCAACCTATCTGTGAATGCAGGTATTGTTGGCAAGTCAGTCAGGACACAGAGCTCACACCAATCTTCAATTATTTTTTCTGGGCGGGCGGTTTGGAGAGAGAGAGAGAGAGAGTTGCGGTTTGGTGGGTGGGGGTGGTGTGCCCAGCGTGCCCCTTTGAGAGCGCATCGCCGACGCCGCCTGCCACGCCGACCCCCTCTCCCGCCATCCCTTCAGGAAACTTTTCGACGTGGTTGGCCTATCAGCTAGATCCGAACGACACCCCGTTCTTCATGGTCCAGTCGCTGTACGGCCGCGAGTACTTTCCCAACGGGGGCGCCTACCTCCAGCGATTTGCGTTGACCGGGAGCATCTACGGCGGGCCTCCAGCTCTTGAGCTTATCGAGCTCGACGCAAAGGGCGACCGGGTCTTTGCCAAGATCCACGTCACGGCTCCCGCAGGCTTCGAGTGGGACGTCTACCCGATCATCGATATGGACCCGAACCCCGGACTCACCTTCAAGTTCACCGCGCTCGATCTATACTCTGAAGGAGGAAAGCAAAAACACGCCGACCTCGCCGCGTACGAGGCGATCGGCTACACGGCGCCGCCACTGCCGCCGCTACCCGCGCCCTTTTGCACCTACCCATTTTCGAGTTGTGCGTTTGGTGTGCCGAGCAACACCGCTGCCGAGCTCCTCATCATCGGACATCGCGCGGCACCGGCGTGCGTTCCCAGCGGGCGCAGAGGGAGAGTCGGCGCGGGGCGGGGGGGAGATTCAGGTGGGGGCTGGGGGAGGGGGGGTTCTGAGCTCTGCCCGCCCTCGCTTATGTGTGTGTGTGTGTGTCTCACAGTAAGAGAGCTGTGTCCGTTTTCATTTAAATTAGCAATCGGTTTTCCGACGTCGACGGCTCTGAGATGCCCTATGGAGGCAATACAAAAAATACGTCCAAATTGACAAACAAAAGACACGCTTTCTCCGACTGCAGACCGCGGCTAATAGCACGCTCTCTCCAGTGAGCCCACTCACAGCACGCTCTCTCCAGTGCGCACACGCTCTCGCCTGGCCAGCCTCGCGTCTCTCCTCCACACCAGCCACGCGATGAGCAGCCCCCGGCCCGCTCTTCGCGCCTCGTGCTGCGCCCCCAGCGCCGCGAGTCGCCCCGCCTCCCGCGTTAACGCCGCCCAGCCCGCGCGCAACGCGCACGCCCTCTGCGCCGCCGCGGACTCCGCCCGCGCGTCGGGCGAGGACAGGCCCTCGTCGTCGTCAAACGCCTGCGCGAGGAGCCGGTCGAGGGCCGCGCCGTCGCCGGCCGCGCCGCTCTCGCTTTCCGAGCTGCGTGTCGACGCGGGCTCGTTGGCCCCCTCCTCCTCCTCGCCAAAGTACGAGCGCCGCCAAGAGCTCCGTCGCTCCGCCGCCGCCTGCGCCACTGCCGCAATGTCCTCCGACTCCTCCGCCTCGGCCTCGTCCGCCCCCCGTGTATCGAAAGAGTGCGAGAGGCTGCCGGCGGGCGGGGCGGGCGGCTCGCTCGGCGACGGGTTTGGTGGCGGAGCGGCCGCCGCCAAGATGGAGCGCAGCGCGGCGTCCTGCTGGCCTGCGAGCGAGTCCACCTCGCGCCGGTACGCCTCCTCCGCCGGCGGCGGCTGGTGCGCGCCGACCCGCGCCCCAATCATGGCCGCTTCGGCACCAAAGAGGTGCGCGTGCAGCTCCTGGTCAGAGGCGCGCCGCGTCAGCACGCGCGGCGGGGCGCGCGCGGAGGCGGCGGCGGCGGCGGCGGCGGCGGAGGCGGAGGCGGCGGCGGCGGAAGCGGCGGAGGCGGCGGCGGCGGAAGCGGCAGTGCCGGGCGCGAGCGCGCAGATGTTGGTGGCGACGACGGCGACGCCGTGGTTGAAGTCGGTCAGCCCGTCGGTGAGGAGGCCGGCGCCCTTCAGCCGGCCGGCCGCATCCGGCTCGCCCTCCACGCAGAATGCGACAATCGTCGATCCGGCCGCCACTGCCACGACCATCACGGACTCCTGCGCGACGCCGAGCGAGGCCGAGACGTCGCGCCGGAAGGCGGCGTCGAACGACGCGCGCGCGCGCGCCACTGTCGCGTAGTCCATGGCGAGGGTGACTAGCACCTCGCTCGCCGCTCCGCCGCCGCCCCCCTTGCCTGCCGCCGCGTCGCCCGTCGCCGCCGCCCTCGCGGCAGCCGGGGCGATGGAGCAGCTGCGCGGGGCGACGGACGCCGCCGCGAGCGACGGCGGCGACGGCGGCGACGGCGGCGACGGCGGCGGCGGCGAGAGCTCGTTGACCATCGGACGGAGCGTCTCCTCGGCCGCGCGCAGCCACGCCGGGGTCTCGCTGCTCACAAGCGGAGGCGGGGACGCGTCTGCACCGGCGGCGGCGGCGGCCGCCCACGCCTCCGCAGCAGGCGCGGCGGTAGCACGAGGGAGGGGGGGCGCCTGCTGCGCTAGCAGCGCCGCCGCCTCGCGCTCCGCCGAGACAACCCGCTTGGCCAGCTCCTCGGCCGCTGCACGCTCGGCGGCCGCGGCACGCTCGGCTTCCTGCGCCGCCACCGCGGCCTGCCCCGCGAGCTGTCGCCGCGCCTCGGCGGCTTGTTGCGCCGCCTCCGCCGCGGCGCGCGCCGCGCCCTCGGCGGCCGCCGCCGCCTCCGCCGCCGTCGCCTCGGCAGCAAAGCGCGCCGCCGCCTTGCCCGCCTCCTCCATCGCCGCCTCCGCCGCCCTCGCCTCCTCAACCTCGCTCGGCGTGCGAGCATTCTCGGGCGCCACGCTCCACGCCTGCAGCGCGGCCGCGGCCGCGGCCGCCTCCACAGCCTCCCCCTCCGCCGCCACCGCCAGCTCGGCTGCGCGTCGGGCCGCCTCTGCTGCCTCCGCCACCGCCTGCGCAGGTGGGGACGGGAGGGCGGCGAGTGAGCAAACTGCAAGGGCCGAGGGGGAGGCGGCTTTGCCCTCCCTGCACGCACCTTGCTCGCGTCCTCGAGCTCCGCCTCCGCCTCAGCCTCCGCCGCCGTCCGCGCCGCCTCAGATGCCATCGCCTCCTCGGCCGCCCGCCGCGCCGCCTCCGCCACTTGCGCTTGCGCCTCCGCCTGTCGCGTCGCCGCCTCGGCGACCGCCCGCGCCGCCTCCTCGGCTGAGGCGCGATCGGCTGCCGCGTTACGCTCCTCCTCTGCGCGCTCCGTCGCCGCAGCCTCGAGTGCAGCGGCCGCCGCGGCGGCACGCCGCGACTCAGCGACCGCCTCGGCCGCCCTCGCCGCCTCTGCCCTCCGCGCCGCCTCCGCCGCCTCTCGCTCCGCCGCCGCCGCCTCGGCCGCCTCGACGGCGGCCGCGGCGCGCCGCGACTGGACAGCAGCCTCGGCCGCCCGGGCAGCCTCCGCCGCCCTCGCCTCCTCCGCCTCTCGCAGCGCAGCCTCGGCCGCGTACCGCGCCTCGGCTGCCTCTGTCGCCGCGGCCGCCGCCTCGCCCCGCGCCACCTCCGCCGCCCCCTCCGCCGCAGCAACCTCCGACGCTGCACGGGCGACCGCCGCTGCCGACGCGCCCTCTGCTGCCGCCACCGCAGCGCGGGCAGTACTGGCGGCCTCCTCGGCGGCCTCTGCTCGAGCGATGGCGCCCCGGGCAATCGCCGCCTCCGCCTCCGCCGCCGCTTCCGCCTCCGCCGCCGCCGCCGCCTCGCACTCTTGACGCGCGGCCGTTGCAGCCGCCAGCTGCTCTGCCCTCGCCGCACGCTCCGCCGCGTCGGCGGCCTCACGTTCCGCCGCCAGCCTCGCCCGGGCTTCCTCCGCCGCGCGCTTCTCGGCCTGCCTCCGCGCCGCAGCCTCGACCTCGAGCCTGGCAACCATGGCCGCCTCGGCCGCCTCGCGTAAAGCTGCCTTCTCCTCCGCCGCCTGCACCGCCGCCGCCGCGACGTCGCGTTGCGCGGCCGCCCCCGCCCTCTGCCTCTCG